ACCTGCCAGAAACGAGAACACAAAGGACAAATCAACGAAACACGAAACCGCCAAAAACCCTAAAGCCCCCAACAGCAACCACCACCAGCAGCAACAGCAACAGCAACAGCAACAGCAACAGCAACAAAAACAGCAACGCTCCGGCAAACAACAGCGGTCGACGGAACAGGCTTCGTAGTGATGATTGCCACCGCGGCAGGTTCTCAGTGTCATCAAGGAGACACCCAACCTCCAGGGGTTCCTGGAGTCCTACTTCTACTGCCTCGCGCTTGGCGAAGCAGATGCGAGGTTTCGTGTACTCTATAGGACTCAGAGTTGGATGTGCTTTTGAGCTGGAACTGCTTCGGGCGTTTGCAGTCAGCTTATGCTGGCTAGGGTTTAGCTTGCAAAGGTTTTCGGGCGGCAGATGCCGAAGCTCATGTCCCAGGAGCAAACCGAAAACTCAATTCCTAAAAAGCCTGAACATCTCGACTTCCACCACAAAGGTTTGGAGTCTAGAGAGCTCCAGGGGCTTTCCAATGACTCCCTTGGGTTTGGCCCCCGATTGGCTCCGTTTTTGAGGTCGGAACTACCCTTTTCATCCCTGTATCCTCATACGATAACATACACTAGAACCCTGTTCTAGTTCCTCCGGCCCCTTTATACAAATACAAAAAAAATTCAAAACACCCGGTAGTACAGTGTTACTACGGTGTTTCTGACAAGGCCGGTACAAAGAGTTCATGAAGTCTTTCGTTCCAGTCGTGGACCTCATCAGAGCTGATAGGCGCAGCTTGCTGGATGGTCAGAATTGACAGAAGCTTGTTCGTGATAGTGACTGATCATGATTGTGTTCGGGATGAAGACAGACGGTTAGTTTTCACTCCTACACACCCGAAGCAAGCTCGGGTCGGTGCAGACGGCCGGAGATAAGACAGCACGAGAGATCCTCGCTTCAAGGAAGTACGGTAGTGTAGGGTTCAAACTGAGTGCGCAGGGTTTGCATACTGCTTGACAGACTTCAGGTTCAGCCTGGCCGCAAAATAGAGTTAACTGGAGGTTGATATGGTGCTGCATGTTGCTGCGAGCACATCAGGCTACGGCACGAGCGTGTCAAGGCTTTCCTGAATGAAATCCGCAGCCTACTGAATTGAAGAGTCGTCAAGTTGCCGACCAAACAGCCGACACCGAAGCACGGAAACCATTCACGGTACCACCTGTGAGACGAACATCTTCAACGTACTTCATATACTCCAACACCCTTGGAATCACAATGAGTATTCCTAGAGTAACACCCCAGCTCCGACCAAGACGCAGTTGGCGACGGGTCTTCGGCAAGTGCATAACAGAGTTCTCGGAAGGAGTAGCGGGCGGGTCCACTGACCTGTAGGGTTTGTGCTGTCGATCAAGCGGCTTACATGGCAGGTACCTCATGAGGCACCTGAAGTACTTCATGCGGATGATGAGGCTTAACGCATACAGGCAAGGCAGTGCATGCTTCTGAGAACCAGCACAGTGCACGGGACCTTGAGAGCTTGTCAGAGCTTTGCAGGGTGTAGGACTAGCATAGAAGAGGGGAGAAGTTATCCGACAGCACGCGGCTCAGACATAGTAACTAAAGCAGTCTGCTGTGCCAAACAGTGTGTGTGTGTGTGCGTACGAAGAACACACGTTCTTGCAGGGCAGAGCGCTGGAAGTCATTCTTCAACGGTAATTAGTGCATCTCTTCTACTTCGATTTGCATTGCCTCGTGCCAGTCAGATCAGTGTTGCAGTGCAGAATTTGTGCTGTTATTGGGGACGAAGGGAAACCAGGAAAGCCAGTGCATGGCCAATCTGCCATATTCTGTCCCGGAACATTGCCGAACCATGTTGTTTGTTCTCAAAGCAGGAGGCTTGTAGCATTGCGTGTTGAAGCTGGAGCTGACGCAACTACTCAGAAAGTCAAACGGCTCCTTTGCAAATCATTTCTTCTCATTTTCTTTGATAGTTGTGCAAGTTGGACTTACAGGGTACTGGAAGAAGAACTGAACTCCACCCAGCCCATGCTAGCAGGGGTCATTTCCCAGTTTATCCCACTCCCACACCCTGACCCCCTCCCTACGCTTTTATCCCGCAACAAAAAACAGTATCCCAAAAATCCACCTTGTATTCCCAAAATCCACCTTATACCACAAGCCCTAGACCAAAGCCACCTAAACAACCCATTACCTGATCCATTCTCTAACCTAAACCATAACCAACACCGAAATTCTTAACCGTTAATCTTAGCCTTACCCATATCCTAAACCTGAACTGGGACATGACCCCCTTGATAGAAAACTATCCAAAAGACGATAGCCCTGAACTGGGGGATGCTGCTTCAGCAGAAGCTCGCAAAGCACTTGCGTCCCCTGTGTCAGGTTTTCCTCAAATCAGTTAGTAAAGCGAGATATATGACTATCAATTCATTAATTCAGTACTGTATAAAGGTTTGCCATTCCCTTTGGTTCTTTGTTTTCTACTTTCTTCGTCTTTCTCTCGCCTCAGAATGTCTATCTTCCTCGCATCGACAATGTCTTCGAACATTTCCATTCCTTGCATAAACCTTAGTCGTACAATTTTGCTTTCAATATACGACACACCGGTCAAGGCGTCCAGAACTTCAGTCTTTCTCAAGATCGGGTCGTTATTGATTCAAGACATTTCCTGCTTGCTTGTATAACCGGAAGCGTCTGTCATTAAAGCTCAATTCTTTACATGTTTTGTAAATATGGGTTTTCGTAAACTGCAATATTTAATCTGCTCTCCTTGCGTTATCGTATGTACTCTCATACTATTACAATGTGAGTCTCCTTTTTGGAAACTTAATGTCTGTGTTGCTGAGTTTATCAACATGTACATGTCTCAGCTGCCCATAGGCCCCTCTGACCCGACATGACGTCGCCAGCCCCGGCACTAGCAGGCAATTCCTTGCCTCGTACAGATCCGTGAAGTTGGAGGCCAGGAGAGCTTTGAATCAAGCAGTGGGCAACATCGGCAACGGTGGTACTAGGACTGGTTGTTCCCATGGGCCTGGACGCAGAATGGAACAGTGTTCGTCTGTTCCTGTAACGACAGCCGTTGCAGACGCAGACTTTGCAGTTCTGAAAGGTTTCTATTTGCTCTAGCTGATTCCAGTTACACAGGGCGAGCCAAGAAAGCCACTTCGGCCAGACTCACGGAAAGCACATCGATGGGGTCCTACGGACAGCTGCAGTTGTCAGGTAATTCGTGTCGGCTTAGTTTGAGGCGAAGGACTTTAGATTAGAGGGAAGCTCCCATTTAGGCTTCAGAGCTTTGTTCATGGTCTTCAGGAGACATGTCGCGATGCAGTGGACCGGTGGTCTTGCCCCTGACTCCTAATTAGTCTGTTGCCACTGGAAGCTTTACGTATACCTCGGTGCCGTAAACTATGTAGCCTGGGATGCCTGGGCCTATGCTTATGCTACTGTGCTCCCTCAGCACTCCACAATGTCCCGGCCATGGCAGTCCTAGACCCCAATTCCTTCAACCTTGGCTTGCGCAGGCCATGGCCAACGAGTTTGGGGTCTCCGCCAACTTCATCGACAGTGAGCTTTCGCCCCTCGGCCTCGAGCTTTTGACCTGCGGGAAGTCTCCGGAGGCTGCGAGAAAAGCACGGCAGGAGCCAGAGCCAGCACCAGCAAAGATGAGAACTCACCCGACTGCACGGATTCAACTGTGAGCCTGTTGCAAAGTTGCCCGCCAGAAACGCATGGGCAGAGCACTTCAAGTCCTGGCATGTCTTCGCGACGTTTCATGCAGACCTGATGTTGCTACGACCTGTGGATGGAATTTACACAGAGCTTGCTGCTGCCATTGCTGCTTTGGCGAAAAAACTGAGACGAAAAAACCAAGACGGTCCGAATAACTCGGTTCTCGAAGTCAAAGCCAAAGCACGATCTCAGTTAGGGTTGCGCTCTCAAATCTCAAATCTGGTCGGACGCCACCCTGAGATGTGCTCTGCAACGACGTTCCAGGCCCATCTTAGGGTTGCGCGGACTGCCTGCAGACGTCAGGTCCTTCATCTCATCCGGCAAGCTCACCTGCAAGATCGACAAAGCTGGAGACTGGAGAGGGAAGATCAGCTTGAGAAATCAGCTCTCTGCTTTCTTCAGCCATGCCAATGTGACACCCTACAATGGCACCCTTTGGTTGCTTTCCATCTGCTCGGCTGCGCCGCAAGTTGAGGTCGCCGGCGTTGTGGAGTCAAACGAGTCCGACTCTCGCAGTCAGGCAGGCTTTAGCTCGTGGGGGCAATTCAACCGGGTTGCATCTAGTGCATCTAGATTCAGGCTGTGAAAGAACCATGTTCAAGGTTCTTGGCCGGGTCCTGGAGCTGGTTGAGGATACCACCTGCGACAGTTCCGCCCCTGCTCGACCCTCCCCGCGCACGGCAACACATACTGAAGATATGCAAGAATATGTCACGTTAGAAGCTGGCCAAGATGCCCGGTGAAGATTTTTCCAGTGATGATTACTGTGATGGCAACAAGACCAGGCAACGGGCTACGGTAGCACCTTGTAACACACAGTGCCATTTTGCAGCGTCTTCTGAATGAAGTTTTGAGAATAGGCAGCCAAGGGGGGCGGAACAGAGACTGAGGGTTGAGCTGTGTGCCGGTTCGGGTGAGGGGTTGGTTTCGTGTCAAAGCCACCACTCAGTGGAAAGCTCATCGAGATGCGTAGGGGGGAGGGGGGTTAAAGCCGGGCACCCTGCAACGCATGGCTTAAAAGAGCCCTCGGCAAATGTACGAGGACCTAGAGTCACGGCTAGAAGAGAGCGCAGGTGTATGTGGAGATCATCAAGCAGGGTGACCTTCTGCACCGGACCCGGGCCTTTGCTGTGGGTACAAAGCGAGTTACTTCGGGATTCGACTCAGATGGCCAGGGCAGAAGGCAGCTTTTGCGGACTTGCAGTGCTGGATGGTGATGATGATGCTGCTGCTGATGATGATGGTAATTACTGATGATGATCCTGTGTGAACTCTGTCTTAATCATGGAATGAGAGGATGATCGTGCATGAGTTGTTTCTCACGGCCTTGGGCTTTATGCAAAAAGGCAAAAAGGTGTTGCATACGTATGGCGCTATTGGAGTTTGAAGCCTTGGCCGAAGCAAAGGCTCAACAAGATGCAGAAGCTCTCAGGCGTCATCGATATGTAACGTGGAGAGGCGGGGCAGCGCACAAAGAGATCTGGCTCTGAACGAAACGTTCAACAGTTGGTAGTTGGTGCCGACAAAGGCGCGATGGACTTCCGAGGTTCCATCTCCAGTGCCACTATGTCAATGGCCCGTTGAACCGAGAAAATGCTTGCAGCACTGCCAGAAGAACCCGCAACGGCAGAAGATGTAAGAATCAGTCGGCATGTTACTATTGCCAGTGGCAAGTGAAAGCCCCGAGGCTAAAGCCCTGGAGCTCGTTTTATATGCGTGAATCATAAGTCTTAAGTCTTGTCAGCAATCTTGTTCATGAAGGCTGGCACCAGACCAAGTTGTGTTAGCATGGCCCTTGCCGCTGACATCTCGCGAGAAACGAAGCGAATCTCCACGTATGCGTCCTGGATATGCAAAGCTTCCTCTCAAACTGCTGCACTTGCAGAGCCATAGTTGAAGCCCTGCAATGTTTCCGCACAGGCGTCCCCCAACCCGCAGAGCCTGACACCTGACAGGGCCTGACAGCCCGCAGACTTCGACATGGGCTGGGGGGGGCACGACATGAAAAAGGTGCTGGTGGCGGATGTTTTTGTATGGTGGCGGCCAAGCCGAACCATTGCCAGGGCACTGAACAGCAAGTCAAGTTGTCAGACTACATAAGGGATCGGCACAGCAGCAGCAGAAGCAGTAGTTGGAACTTGTTGGGGTCGTGGAAATAGTAGCAGTAGCAGCAGTAGCAGCCCTAGCAAAAGCGTCTGCAGGAGTAGAGGGTTGTAATACCGTAATACCGTAGCATTCGAAGTGACATTCAGATATTCATAAACGAATTACAATGACAATGCGAATGCGCATTACTAACCCGATGACCCTGATGACGAAGAATCTGCACGCACCAAGAGCACCAGGAACGTTGTCGATTGCAGGGAGCAGAGAGCTAGTCAGTCACAATTATCGCAGCAACGAAATCACATGCCTTAGCTGTTGCCACTCGTCCCACCAAAGCAGGTTGCAAGCTTGGTAGCATCTGGATAAGCGTGCAGTGCTTGAGGATTTGGGCTGTTGGTGCTCGAATTGAGCGTTATGCGATTGCATCGCAGTAGGCTTTTGGGTCTGTCCCGAGGCCCGCTTCTGCGGACAACCAATATGAGGGCGAGGGGCTTCGGAGATCTCTGTTCCTGTCGCTTGATATAGTTGTAAATATCGTGAGAATCGTAGTCGAAGCTGCAACAGCGCATGTGCATTGAAACATTCCATGGTAGCAGCCAGAGTATAGTATAGTACATATTGAGTATTGTTCCTGAACTTCGAAGCTGACGTTATGTGGACAAAGGACAACTAACTGCCCGCTGCAGAGTCCAGCATCGTCTTTACCTGGTGCACCGGCTCTGTGACAGCTTTAGGGCAGGGTTCCATTCGTCCCACAGGGGAACATGGTAGTTTAGATGCTCAAGGGGACTGTCAGCACAACCACCAGCAGAAGGAGCCTTAACACCCCGGCTCCACCTCACGTACGCTATCTTTAGGGAGTTCGACCAGGCGATCTTAAAGCCCAGATATCCGAACAAGAACTGTTGGCAGCTTGCTGCAGGGAGCAAAACAGTTTTCGACAACCCATCATCGCACAGTGCAGCTAGCACCGTGCCCGGCTAATTTGCATCGTCAGGGCTCAGGCTTAGATGGCTGAGCTTACCAGCAGAACCAGTCTTGAATCCGCCGCGCCCCATGGGCGCTGGCTCATCAGTAAGCGCCGAAAAGTACAAAGGCACTGCTTCCAGGTTTACACGCATGCGCCAGTTTTGTTGGAACCATGTTCTCAAGGCTAGGAGTTCCTGATAGTGACTCAGCATGTGCCCTACAAGACTCGGACCCACCCTGAACTGGAGAATGTGCTGCGCAGCCCTTAGACCCTGTCCTGCTCCCGGCGCCCAGGGACTGACCTTCCCGAGGCGACAGTCGTCACTGTCAAGCCGAGGCTTCTTTTCGGGGTCAGGGTCGAAGAATTCTGTGGCCCTGCATGCCCTGCTAGCAACCTCAAGCGACTCGAAAGGCCAAAACAGCGTGACCGGACCGGAACACGGCTGCCCACCCAGAAAAGCCAAAGCACACGTTTGCTATACGGCGTGTGGGACTGTGGAGAAGAGGTGAGTTTCGCCAGAAATCGGCGCGCACGCGCTTACCGCAGCGCCTGGCAACCAACAGCCAAGTTCCCTTGCGCTGAAGTAAGAACCCACAGTTTCATAGTGTTAGTTGCCCGCAGTTTTGGAAACGCTGACACTATAGAGTGCAGGGTTATGGCCTCGGGAGGAGCACGCGGACGCTGACGGTTTGAGCCGAAAACCGATGTGCCTGCGGAAGGTCGCTGGATCCTGTCGTATCCGATGAAGGCAACGTGGCCGGGCACTCATTTGAGTGCAGAGGGAGTGTAGGTAAAGCAGTTCACGATCTATCAGAAAGAGCCCTGACTTTGCTTGATTTTGCTCGAGATCAGCGGCAGGCGGCAGGAGGGTTTGCCTCTCGATTTTGCCTGAGGCTAATGACAACGGACCAGCGGTGGCTTGGGGCCCAGTCATCCTAAGCACAGAGAACCCGAATGCCAATGTCTTTGCGTGATGCGGTGAAACTTTGCAAAGCCAGGCCTGGAATCAAGAGACTGCTTCTAGCCAGCGAGGCGAAGCCGAGGAGGAGATCATGACTTATCATCACTGAATGTGCGAAGGTCAATGTCCTAGATGCAGATACTTGTCGCCCAAACAGTGTGGTAACTCTGTGAGGTTCTTACGGGTAAGTAGGATAAATCTGTGTTCGCCTTGGGTTATGGTCGTCGTGGGGTCGCGGTTCTTGGTCGTCCTGTCCTGGCGCTGGTGCTGGTGTTGGTGCTGGTGCTGGTGGTGGTTATCATCGGGGTGTGAGTTTCGTGGGGTCTAGCTGGCTGGCGTATTATGCATTGGTTCTCCGCATGAGGACTGCCTGCGCAAGGCAGCCGTCTAAACGAGTCCAAGCACCCTGACAATCGCCTGAAATCGGGAGAACTGAGAAACATTCTACCCGTGCAGAGGAGCCAAAGCGCACCATCAGCAGCTCGCGACGGGTCGTCGAGGCCTGACATAGACAGCATCCATGTTTCAAGGGGGCACAGTGCGTGAAACAGCCGATCGAAACCGGTTCGGGAACTTAGAGATTGGTGAAGCGTGAGGATTCAGGGTTTTAGGGCCGTTCGGAGGCGCACTTCGGAGATTGCTGGAGTGTCGTATCTGCTGGTGGCTGCTGGTGGATGGCTGTAGAATCAACCGTGTCCGATTTCGGGGATGTCGCCGACCCACGTTGGTGTGTGCCTGCAGTGCCTTTCATGACACCAGGAAGTCGTGTGGTATTGTAGACACCGAAGGTTGCCAGGCACTGTGCGAAGGATGAATGTGTTTGTTGTGGCTCTGCTGGTGTACGGACTGCAGAAGAGGTTGCCGGATTCACGAGCTTCACTGAACATAGCACTGCAATCCCGCATGGTTGCACGCTGTCGCCAAGCGCCTGGAGGAGCTGGACTCGCGAGCCACTACCGCCGACGAGGTCGTGCCTGGTGCAGGCCAGGACTTTCGGGCTTTCAGCTGTTGGAGGTCCGGAGCTGCAGCTGTGTAGCGGGAAAGATTCCTGATAATCATTAATCGATGCTGGCAAGCTTTGAGACTTGATACTTGAAACGGAGTGATGGCTGTCTGCTAGTGTTGCAAGCAGTCGTGGTTGCATTCGGAGCCGCTTGTTTTTATTTTCGAGCGAGTTTTTCCTAGAGAGTGTGTTTTTTCTTGCTACCAAACGGTCCCGAACTGCAGGCAGCAGCTACGGCAAGAAGGTAGAACTGCAAGGGAACTGAAGGCTGCCAGAGCCAGAGGGACGTGGGGCTGCAACGGGACTGCATGCTGCAACAGCTGCAGGAACATAAGCCTGCAATGACTGCAGGAGGACTGCAGGTATGCAGGGTTTGAGGACTGCAAAAGACTGTTGAGACCTTTACCACCAATGGACCCGTTACAAAAACTCACATTAATATTGTGGGGGGCGGGGGTGGGGGCAATGGCGCGGGCAATGGCGGTCGTGGTGGTGGTGGTGGTGGTGATGGTTTTCGTATTCGAGTGAGGGGATTCTGATTTCTCGGTCATGAACCTTCCGGAGACCGTATATGCCGAGTAAGCAACTCGCATGCTTCACAGGCGAAAACCTTGGGATATGTCACTTATGTGGCGATGTTCAACATCATTCGCAGATAATACAACAAGACGAAGGAGAACTTCACGTCCTCCTGTGGGGGCTTTCCCGCCAGGCGGCCCACCAGAGGATGGTCTCGTCCTGAGCAGTCAACAGACGCAGCGCCAGATCTCAACATGCAGTCTTGAAAGCACTAATGCTGGTGCTGGTAGGAGTTAGTAACAGTTAGTAACAGCAAGCCGCAACAGAGCGCCGTTGCTGACAAAGATCTCCGAAGACAAAAATGCAGGCCTTGCCTGCATTGAACTATTAAATTGGTTGTTAGACTTCCAGCATAGTACTACGACAGAGTCGATGCGTGTGAAGGCCCATGTCACATAGATTGATATAGATTCTGCACTCTCACGGACCCTGTATATTGACCCCACAGGCACAGGCTCTGGGAGCACAATGCGGCCCATGAGAGGCCTCAAGATGGGTGTGGGTCGGACTCGCAGTTCTCAGTTTCAGGGCCCTGCCGTTGCTACTAGTAACATCTGTGTTGTGGGTCTTGTTGTCGCGGCCGTGGCCACGACGACGTGCTACCACTGCTTCGGCTCCTCTTTCGATTCCTGCATCTCCTTGGGCAGGCGGCAACAAGCTGAACTTCTTGTTCGCAGGGCTAGCTGGGTAAGGATAGTTTGTAACGGTTCGCGCCTTGAGCCTAGCTGAGTCGCAATTTGCCAACCGCACTAAACATGCGTGGCTACCCACAGTCTAGCACTGAAGAGCAGCACGATAACAGCGTCCTAACCAGCAGCAGCACCTGGTGT